ATATATATATATATATATATATATATATATGATTTTTGTCACCAAATTTGTTCAGCATAATCACTTACATATTAAGACAAAAAAGATCAAAGTAACAAATAAAAGGTCGGTGTACCATTCCATTTTATGCATTCACATATTTCCGTCGAATGCACTATGTGCACAACCTTTCAAAATATTTTTTTTTTTGAAATTGAGAAAAAGAAATCAAATAAACAAAATTCTACTCATTTACCCAGTCCTTTATGCATTATCACAATAACAAAACAGTTCAAATACGGCATTGGCATTTTATATAACACCATGGCGATGCTCAATGTAACGTAGTTTAAAGATGGAGCAAAAAAAAAAGAAAAGAAGAAGCAAAATTAGTGTAGAATTTTAAAGAATAAAGTTTTTGTTGCTAGTTGTGTTGTTGCTGCTGCTGCTGCTGAAAACATCAATGACAACATCGAACATTGAGCAACAAGCATCTAAGCCAAATAGAGAAGGGAAAAAAGATGGAGCACATTAAAGAATTACAGCAACGACAATAATTTAACTTTTTATAATTTATTGCTTCATTTAACTACAAATCGTTCACCTCCCTCTCTCTCTCTCTCTTTGTCTAATTTCCAGTGCTTTTCCCCCGTTACTGCTACTACCAATACTACTGCTTTTTTTTTTTTTTCTGCTATTGCTGTTATTGTCGACAATGACGCTTAAATTTTTTCACACAATGTACCTTTGCTGCAGAAAAAAAAAAAAAAAAAAAAAGTTGTAGCAAAAATAAATGAAAAAAAATTTTTTTTCCCCCCCTTTACGGCGCCCATTATCTAGCAAAATTGTAAAAACTAAGAAAAAAAGCTTTTGCTCTTTCTTACTCCAATCTTTTTCAGAAAGAAAAGAAAGCAAAAACTAAAAGTAGACAAACAATAACAAATGAGGAATTAGAAAGCAACCAAAAAACTGTAACAATTGCCACGATAGTAACACTTATTGTAATCTGAAAGGTGCAACAATGTGCAAGCAAATACTGTTAAAATTTTAAATTCCAACAGCTATTTTTGTTTCCCTACTTAACTTTTTCTACTTTATTTTTGTTTTTTTGCCTTTCTGTAAGTATTTTTAAATTTAACATTACTAAAATGAACTGAAAAGAACCATCATTCATTACCACTTAGACCAAAGAGACAACAGCTGATAAGTTCTACTTATGACAGTAAAAATTTGCTTAGGTTTCATTTAGTTGTTGAATCACTACTATTGCAAGTCGTCATACTACTGCCGAAGCATCTAATTTCTAACTTTTTTCCCTTTTTTTTTAATTCTCAGTTAATTAGTTGGTCAATCACTAAGTTAGCCAAATTCTTGCACTCGTGATCTTCGCATATCACCAAATACTGCTGCCGTCAGGGTAAAGACAATGAAAACAATGACTGCTAATGGCAAGTAACGACGACAGTGGCAATCCCGCTGAACATAGTCCAACTCGAAACTTCATCATACAAAAACTTGAACGGGAGCAAAAAACAATACCCAGAAAATATATAAATAAATAGATAAAGATCAGCCATACATCTGCCTAGATAGTGCCTACTAATAGCGACAATTCTCTTTGCCAT